AGCAGGAAGGGGGGGCAGGGGCACCACCTGGCCTTGCCCAGCCCATCCAGCCACGCCTGCTTAGAAACGTGCACCAAGATGGCATCGGTGTTGCTCCATAACAGTCTAAAATTCATGCCCAGAGGTAGTAAACAGGACCTGAAAGTAATCATTTTGAGAGTCCAGAACTACTAAAACCAACAACCAGGTTTCTCAAAAGCGATGAGTGGTTTCAGAGGCCTCAATTTACATCACGTTTCTTTTAAGGTACTTTAAAGGGGCTGCATTTCAGACAAGGGGTGCTCCACGCTTCCAAAATCCGGATGCCAGAAGAATGCAAGATGCCTGCCCCAGTCGTTCACATTTTCCAAAACACCAGTAATTTCCAAAAAAATCTTGGATTCATAGAAGTGTAAGTGAATTATGAATCTTTTTCTTCCACCTACCTACTGAGAAATTAAAATCTACACCACTGGAGGGAATCTGATTTGTATTTCTGTTACAGACTTTTTCTTTAAATAAAGTAGAAAAGGAAAATTAGAAAAAGATGAATGCATGTAGGACCACTAATAAACTACATGCAGGTTATTTTTTTAGTTGTTGAGTTTTACAGGGGGTTAGGGTTAGAAAAAACATGTAATACTTCTGCTTAAGCATTCAGTAACTCATGTACACTGACAGAAAAGCCCATCAGTGGTATCATTTATTTTTCCATACTGTGGGCTTTGGTGTTAATCTGTCAGTCTGTCTCTCTCTCTCTCTTTCTCTTCTCCTCCTCTGCGAAGTCTCAAACTCCCCTCATTGGAGGTAAAGCAGGGCAGTGAACTACATTGCTATTACATGAGCACATCAAATTTTAAGGAACAGACTTCAAGAAGAAGAAAAACAGACGTTATAATCAAAACCAAACTTTGTGGCTACTTTGTGGCTGTCCTACTAACGAGGTCATCCAGTTTCTGGTCACAGCTGTGGAATTTACCGCAAAACAGCTGTGAATCCAAGTCAGGAAAAATTCTTTCTTTCCTATACATTGCATAGGTGTGCCCAAGGAGACAGGCTGACACAAAATTCCCAGAAGATCCCAATTTTGTGAACACTGTGAAGGTAGTTCTGTTGTATCATTATAGTTTTATTTTCTTCACAAAAACTTTGAATATACCTTCCTGTATCACAAGACGCACGGTTCTGCAAGGTCTGATGCACGTAAACCTTGTAAAAGCAACCAAGTGCTTTCCCCTTTCTGGTTCTGCTTTGCAAGTTTTCAGGGAAAGCACTTTTCAAGTGTGTGAACTAGAGGGCATTCAATGAGAGCCACAGGTGAACAATTTAAAATAGATTAAAAACAAGCATTGGTGGACTCCCGAAACAGCTGCCCCAGGAGGCAGACGTAGCCAGCAGGTTCATATGGGATTAGAGAAGTCCAAAGACAACAGGTCCATAAAGAAATACTAAAAGGAACAAGCAAGACTGTATTGCTTTGGAATCGCTAATCTAATGATTACTGATGTTGGGAGAGCAGAGAGCGAAAGTCAGACAGCAGGCAGGTTAACATACTTCTTAAACAG